ATGCAGACCAGGAGGCCCTGTGCCAGAGGTGTTATGCACACTTTTGTCATTCAAAATATCAGTATGAACTCATCACATCTGTTCACACAATTCTTCACAAGTATGTTAAGCATAAAACAAATACAAACACTAGAGATGCAGGTTTTCAGGATTGTGGTGCATGACGTTTTTGGTGCAATCGCAGGGAAAAAGTGCTGCTGCTGCTGCTGTTCTGGAAAGTTCTGTTCAGGGCAGCTGGGTCAGCCTTTTCATTACTCAGGAGAAAGTTTGCTTCCTTGGGTACCAAAGAGAGAAGTTAGAAGGCAGCTCTTCCTGCCACCGTTAGACCTTCCCTTCTGTCCGTGTCCCCAAAGATCTCAAAGATGCAGCTGCTTTTCCCCTCCACCCAACATAATAAGGAGAGACCACAAGAGGAAGGAAGTAGCTCAAGGGCTCTGTAAGGCTAAAGGGACACATTCCCCTTCATTCTACTGCTCAGAGGGCAGGTCAGCACTGTGACCTCCACCTTCCAACCAAATGAGACAGACTTGATCAGGGCCAGGAATCAGAGGTCCCTATCCAGTTGCCATCAAGTCGATTCTGAGTCATGGCACCCCCATGTGTTACAGAGTGGAACTGCTCCATAGCATATTCTTGGCTATAACCTTTATGAGAGATGATCACCAGGCCTTTCTTCCACTCAACTTTAGTTTAGTGCAAACCATTTGTACCACAACGAACAAATACCTCAGGCAAGAACTCCCCTGTCAGAGTGTAAGGCCTCCAACCACCTCATCACCCACACTATAAATGGTTCTAAAGTACAGAAAAATAAATGAGTAAGTGTCTAAAACACATAAGAAGAGGTAGAAAGTAGCACACACCTAAGCAAACATGGACAGCAGACACGCTGCTTAGCCTCCTAAGTGTTTTAAGAATTAGGAAATTTTATATGCATGCATACATACAGCTTCTCTTGAAATGTTGGAAGGTCAGACAACAGTGGGTCCACAATCCCCAAAAGAATCCAACAGTGGCTGCCCTATTCAGGCAGGGCATGGTCATTTTCTGGTCCTCTAGGCCCCCACTCCTTTGGCTGCCTTAAACACGACAGCACAGCTCACAAGTCTACACCACCTGCCAGGCCACTGCAGGACAGGAGTCTCTGAACATAAAGATGACAGTATTTATACCTCATGCTACACTGAAAGACATTCAAGTAGCATAGACATAAAGTAAACATTAGGGGTTTTGAGATTTCTGTTTTCTCCATCCTTGTAACACTATTCAGGCTCTGACACCAAACTGATAGCTAAGGACACACAGAAACAGGAGGTTGTAAGGGATGATGCACACCACGTGGAATTAGTGACAGTGTGCCAGAGGCTTGGCAATCCTCCAACAAAGGGCACAGTGGCAGCTCCTATTCTCACAATCCTGACACAGTCCAACCATGGGGCAGGATCCAGGCCTCAATCGGCTTCAGCCCATACATTACTGTTCCCAACAGCACTCATCAGAAACTAAATCTGATTACACACACAAATCTGAACTCAGACCCCCCCTAGTTTCTCCCATCAGACAGCTGCTACTCTCATCTCTAAAAGGAAGTAAGAGGGATTTGTTTACCCTTAACAGTTCCAGAGAAAAGGGAAACGAGGAGGGTGAAGCATGCCAAGTTTCCCAAAGGAAACATGGGGAAGCAGGCTGTACAAGCCAGGGCCTAGGTTTACCTAAACAAAACTTCAAACAAGCAAATCTCAAAGCCACTGTAAACTTTGGTAATTTTTCCTCTTATCTATCATGCTGTTTAAGTTCTGAGACAAATTCTGAAACCACAGAGGAGGAAGTACATTTCAAAAATGTGTTTCTGAATCCTAATCACACCACTCTGCATAATTCCCTCTTACCAAAGAATTAGGAGCTCTAATATATTGGTTCTTCCAATACAATACTGATGATTACTGTAATAATTATTGATAATAAAAAAATGTAAAACATACTTGAATAGAGTTTCACAATGCTCAATGTGCTTACATTTCCTTAGAAATGAAAAGGGAAATAAGTATTTTACTTCTCTTTAACAGGTGGGCACTAAGGCACACAGCATGTAAAACTTGCTCTGTGGGAGGAAGATGAGGTGATCTACTTCTGTAGAGATTTACAGCCTTAGAAACCCAATGGGGGTCACTAAGAGTCAGCATCAACTGGATGGCAATGGGTTTGGTTTTTGTTTGGCAAGATCACACAGCTGATCAGAGCCAACACAGCTCTGCTGCCTATACATGAATTCCAGAAATATATGAAGCAACCCAGTAGTCAAGAAAACATTAATCCCTGGTGATATTCTCCAGACAAAACTTTGTCATTTGCATACATACACATACACACCTTGATACACACACACACACACAAATGGATGTCAAAGCCACAATGTAAAAATTAATGTTAAATGTTACAGAAGGGTCCATTCACTTGTTCTTTCTACCTGATAATTAGGAAAAAGTGACTAGTCTGAATCACAAGTTTAAAATATAGTTTTGTTTTACTCATAAAACAGCATGTTCTTGTTGTTGTCATGTGCAGTCGAGTCAGCCCCGACTCATAGCGACCCCTCCTTGGGTTTCCGAGGCGGTATCACTATGGAAGTAGATTGCCCAACCTTCCTTCCAAGGAGTGGCTGGTGGGTTTGAACTGCCAGCCTTCTGGTTAGCAGTCAAGTGCCTTAGACACTATGCTACCAGAGCTCCTATGAAACAGCATATTAACCACAAAGAAGCACATTTACTGACAGCAAATCCTTCCAGAGTTGAGTCAATATTCAACATAACTAGGGCTAAACACGGCAACACTGATGATCTTCCAAGGATGTGGGGCAGCTAGTGGGCTAACCTGAGCAGCTACTGCCCTCTAGTGGCATGACCCTCCCCAGCGCCTGGGTAAGAACATGTAGAGAGGAAGCTTAGAATGGCATTCTCCAAACATTTCTCACATATCCTTTCTATTTTTTAACACAAAATTTTTTAGTAAAATTCCTCAATATGTATATATTAATTTATAACTTTTATACCTATACTGCCATAATACTATACTACTTACAAAACAGACAAAATGGAACTACTTAAAGCATGAGGTTTTGAAAAACATGATCTAAATATAAATTTTAATAATTTCCTCTCACACAGCAATGGTTAACCTCAAACACTTCATTTTGGAGACAACTTCACTTTGAAGAAAACCCCACAGTGCGATTTTATTCAGTAACATCACAACATAATTTCTGCCTTTGATAAGACAAATTATACCCTAATTATCATTTTCCTTTTAGAGTGCTTGTGGGTAACTGAAGTCCCTGTAGGTGAAAAAGCAATAATTTAAGTTGGTCAGTTAATTCACTAGAAAGTTATGTAGTCATGCTAACCACAAAACTGACGTGGTTTTCACAAACTTGGTTAAAACCCTCATCAGGTACTAGTTTTCTCTAAACCTTCAGGCAAGATTAACAATCCAGAAGAACACCTTGAACTTTGAGTATCCCTGCTTTGCTTCCAGAAAGCTCACTTCTCCAAATGAAAACTCCTAGGACTCTTGAAGTCTTTTATCAAAGGGAGTGTTTATTACAAACAAAGGACTTGAAGGTTTCAACTCCAGAGCACAGTAGCACTCCAACCTGCCTCAAAAAGTAAAGAATTATGCAGACTGACATCATGAAGTACTGGCCTACTGAAGTATTTCTACTGACACTCACAATGAGTTAGAAAATACACACAACCTGTACCTCACTCAGCATCCTGGGATCCTAGTTGGCATCAATGAACCACAGCTTTGAGAAGCAGGGTGAAAACGTACAAACTTTTCCAAGGAGTGCAACAGTGAAACATGTATCAGACTCACATAAAGACAGGAAGAGGAAAGACTTTTGGTGGTTGTTTTTGTTGTTTTATCTCGTTTCCACATATGCATTTCCAAAGGTTTGTTTGAAAATCAAAGACATCTACAGTTAGTTAACTAAGGCATTCCTCAAAGGGGGATGGTTGTTATTGGGTACCATGGAGTCCATTCTGACTCATGGCAACCCTATGTGATAGACTACAACTGCCCCACTGAGTTTTCTTGGCTGTAATCTTTATGGGGACAGATCGCTAGGTTTTTCTCCCACAGAGCTGATGGGTAAGTCTGAACTGCCAACCTTTTGCTGAGCACCTGAGTACTTTATCGCTGTGCCACTAGGGCTCCTTTCAAAGGTGGGTAACAGGTCTTAACATTTACCTCTGCTTTCCTGTGCTCAGCACAAACTGGATACAAACAGGCAGTTCTCATTGTGAAAAGAAGATAAACTTTTTATCTCCCCCAAAGAAGGCTGGGGGAGGAAGGGACCTGAAAATCCTATGCTTATAAAGTAATTTGTTAATGAAACAATCTGTTGCTAGAAAAAATAAAATTTGACTAAGGCATTTTCAAAGACCATGACCACACTACTCTCTGATGTGCTGAATATTACAGTACAGTCCCCTACATTAAAGCCAAACAACTGCATAAAGTGTAATCACTAGACTAAGGATCACACCAAAAAAAAAAAACCCAAACTCACTGCCATCAAGTCAAACCCGACTCACAGCAACCCCTCCTTGGGTTTCCAAGCCAGTATCACTACAGAAGTAGATTGTCCAACCTTCCTTCCAAGGAGTGGCTGGTGGGTTTGAACTGCCAGCCTCTGGTTAGCAGTCAAATGCCTCAGGCACTATGCTACCAGAGCTCATAGATTATGGATACTCTTACTCAAAACTGAATGACAGGAAGGCATGGTGAAAATCTTCTCAATCAAAAGACCTGGGTATATCAGTCCAGTGGCAATAATTTTAATAATGTTGGGTCACTTTTGCCCAACAATAGAATTACTTCAGGGCAGACATATCTTCATAAGTTAGTGTACTTCCTAGAAAAGACTTCACCAGGATTTACTGAATGAGAAAAGGATATACACCAAGAAATTGAAAGTGAAAATAAGAAATATTAACTACCTCTTGGTTGTCTTTGTTTTGGTTTGTCCAGAAAATCTTATGATAGAGTGTCTCCATTGAATTGCTGGAATCAGTTCGGTCAAAACAGTGACGATCCAAGACTTCCAATGTGTGCAAAACCCGACTAATGGTCACCCCTGGGAACAAAAATTAAGCAAGAGGCTAAAGAAACACAATGCATCATTATGTGGCACAAAAGCAGTTTTAAAGAATTACCATTTCTTGGCTGTGAAAGAATTGCCAACAAAAGCAAACCCGACATTCTATACAGCCAGGACCTACAGGGCATAAATAGAAAAACGGCCTCAAAATTCACCAGGTGGCTCTGCCAAACATTTCCTCATTCATGTGGAATGATTTATAAGACACATGGCATAAAGTCCAACATCCAAAAAAGCACTCATTCTTCTGTTGGGTTCTTTACCTGCTGTCGACTCCTGGCACTTGTCAAAAGACCACCGAACTTCCACTGCACGGCCTCTTTGTTTTATCTGCTGCTCTACCTCGTAAATCCTTGCTCGAACCTGAAAGATAACTGCTTCTAATTAACTTGTGCTTGAAAAGCCACAGTATCTGTCTAAATCATGTCATGTTTTTCCACATGAGTATACTATAGTGAACTACAATCTGGACTGTTCTGTAGGAAACACAGCCAATTGCCCAAGAAGTGCATGTTTAAACATTTTCAAATGGTGATTCCACACCAGTCTTTGATAATAAATGCTCATGAAAATAAATGCAAAAACTTTTGACAAGTGTAATTTATTTAGGACTTGATATAAAAAGTTCTACAGAATCTTCTTTGAACCATTCCTCAATGAGTTAAAGCAACTAGTAATGTTTCATTAGGAAAATTGCTTGATGAAAAAGAAGGACCCTATTTTTAGTATAACCATGATCTTGTGGCTCACATTCCTAAGTCATTGAACCAAATAACCCAGCACTAATAAAATACAACACTAAGTATCAGAGACTACTACAGTGGGAGTTGTGGGCATGTATTAGAATCACCACAATAATTACTGTGTAGGTGGTGGAAGTCTTAGCAAACAGTGTCCAGTAAAGAGTGAAAAGAAAGGTAGCAACTTCATGAACTTCTGCAGTTCAGAGGGGCTGTATTTTTCCTCACGGTTACCCAGAGATTTCAGATCAAAGCTGTGAATGACACCAAACATCTAAGATACTAAAACCCAGGCTTGGCTATGACCTGATGCTTCCCAAGAATGAAATTATCCATCTCACCACTGAAACAAAGCACATACCTGCTGGTTGAAAGCTGTGTTCCCACCTGGCATGGGCAGGCTGGAAGGGGCCACCTGCAACAGGTCCAGGGGTGAGCCTGGGTTCATGCTCTTATTCTCATTTGTGGAATAATTCCACACCAAGGCACTTGGGCAACAGAGAGTGACAGTCTGGAAATGAAGCAGGAAAACCCAGATATTCAGGGGTAGGGGAAGAGTGTAACAATAAACACAGCACTAACAATAACACCTTCTGCTTCTATATTTTGGTTTCCTGAGTTTAAAATAAGAGCATCTTACCCTCATTCTCAACTTCCCAAATGATGGCTATAACTGTGATAGAATTATTAGTCTGAAAAGGTAAAAGTCCAGCAATTGAGAAATTAAGGAAAAATCTAGTTCATAAGCTAATATCCCAGCACAAGAAGCCTAGGAATTTAATAAAAATACAGTAATCATCACTTAAAACAATAATCTTAATTTTTCCTGAAAAGTCTCGCAATTAAGAAAATGTGATGCAATTTTAAAAAAATAAGATAAAATTTAAAAACATAATTTCGAAGGTCACAAAATATGAAAGAAATTATTTAAAAACAAAAAAATATCTCAACATCTTTTATGCAGAGAATCTTCACAAATAATGCTGCAGTTAGTGATTTCATAAATGCTGGATGATCACAACCCTGGGCCAGAGTTTAGCAAATTTCTTCTACAAATGGCCAGACAGCAAATGCTTTAAGCTTTGAGGGCACAGTCTCACTTTTTTATTCCCCCTCTCTTTTCTATTTAAATAACCCTCTAAAAACCCACTCAGGCTACAGTTTGCCTTCACCCCTGTCCTAGTCAACCCTTTACACACATGAGCCTGCACTAAGCACTTTATACAAGCATTTTAATTACACTTCACAACAACCTCCTGAGGTGGGTACTATTATTGCCTAATTCTACAAAAGAGAAATGTGCTACAGATGAGATTAGTAATCAGCCCAGGTGTGACTCCAGCATACACACTGCCTCCTAACTATAGATTAAATATTATTGCTCACTTTAATTACACACTTACTGTAGGTAAACACTGTCCTGGAAGCTTTCAGTCATCATAATCTTAACCTTATGAGGTGACAAGGGAAGAACTATTATCAACCTTGCTTTACGTATGAGAAAATTGAGGCTCAAGGTTACAGTTACTAAGTAGAAGGGGAAGGCTTAAAATCAGGGCTGTGAACCATTATGCTATTGTGTCATCCAACAGCAAATTATATGAGTTTAAAGAATGGATATATTATTTCTTTCTTTTAAATGTAAAATAAACATAAAAAACTAAATTCTCAGGCGACAGTTTGTCAGTGGCAGTTATGAAGATAATCAAGTCCCTGAAGCCCGTCAACACCTCTGTCACCACTGGGCCACATCTCCACCTCCTACCTCCTGTCTGGGCGGATATGGGGCTCTTGCCTCCAGTCCATGATGAAACATTTCTCTATGTTCTTGATTCCAAAACCTCCCATCTCCAGGGCAGTGATCAATCAATACCCCTCCTCTCACATTCTCAGCCTCTCCCTCTACTCTCTACTTGGTTTATCCTTCACTTAGAAATATGCTCAAATGTGCTCGTCAAAAAAAAAAAAAACACAACTTAAAAAAAATAATACTTCCATTGACACAGCCAACTAACCATTCTCTTCTCTCTCCCTCTCAAAAGAACAGTTAGCAGTATTTCTCATCATTCTTCCATCCTCAGCCCACTTCAATCTGGCATCTCGTACATTAATCAACTGAGCCTACTAACTGCCATCAACTCTATTTCAACTCACAGTGACCCTTTAGGACGAGTAGAACTGCCCCATAGGGTTTCCCAGGCTGTAAATCTTTAAGCAAGCAGATTGCCTCACCTTTCACCTGTGCAACGGCTAGTAGGTTTGAACCAGTTAGCTCTCAGGTCAAACTTTTAGTTTACAGCCGAATACTTTAAGCACACCAGAGCTTAAATGCCACCAGAGCTCCTTACTCAACGGAAAGAGCTCTGAAAAAGATCACCAATGACCACCATATTGTCAAACCCAAAACACATTTTAACCAACTTCTTATCAGACTTCCCCAATAATATTCAGCACTGCCCACTAGCATCTCCTTTTTGAAATTTTCTGCTACCTGAAAAAGCAGTTTAGCACAGTGCTAAGGGTGGGTTCTAGATTTAACTGTATGGTTTTGAATTCCATTTTTGCAACTTATTTCCTACATGATCTATGCTGCCATTTCACAATTGATGTTATAGTAGTAATAATATCTCATAGAATGTTCTGAGCATTAAATGACTTAATATATGGAACAACATTAAGCAGTGCCTAAAATTTAAGCAATGCTATTACTACAATTCCTCTGTTCTTTTCTCTCTAGTCTGGATAAACCTTCCTGGTCTCCTCCATAGATGTCCCCTCTGCCCAACTCTTAACCTCTAGTGTCCCTCAGGTCCACAGGTCCTCTCTCACTACAAACTCCTTAGATTATCTCTTGGGATTTTGACCAGCCAACTGGCCCTGAGTGACCCAAATCCATCCACCTGACCAGTTTTGTACCCTAATCTTCAGAGTCTGACATGTAACAACCTCTTGAACATGTCCACTTGGAGGTCCTGAGGAGATATAAAAGCTGAATTTACATAGATTCTTCCAAACTGATTTCTTCTGTCTCTGTCCCCATCTCTCTCCTCCTCTCTCCTGCCCTCTCTCTCTTTCTCTCTCCCCAACTCTCCCTTTCCCTCTCTCCTTGTCTCCCACCAGCCTCTCTCTACTGTGGACAAAATAATGAAACTAAACTACACAACTGACCAGGTCAGTTCCTTGCATAAAACCCTCCTATGACACCCAATCATGAGGTCCAGGAGTCTTTATGCACTGACTCCTAACAAGTTTTATATTTTATGTTCCACTAACACCAACCTGTACATAAGATGACTGATCAGCCTCTGGGCCTTTTCCCATGCTGTTCCTTCTGGTCTGGAACATCCTTATCACCTCTTCTTACTTGGTTTGTTTTCACTCATACTGTAAGACCTAGCTCAGAACCACTTCCTTAAATTCTAGGTTGTACTAGAAATTCCACTTATTTCTTTAGCTCTATCAGTCCTTGCATATCATGTAAAAATTACCCATTTACAAATCTGTCCTCCCACCAAACAACACAGTAAACTCTCAGAGTAAAGACTGAGTCTCCATGGCCAACCCTGTCTCAAAATGCCTTAGTAAAGATACGGACATATCAAGAGCTCAAGAAATGCAAACTAAACACTAAATTCTGAGCTACTCTAGGGCAGAGCTGAATCTCATTCCTGATACTATCAGCCCAGTGACCCATACGTGCTTGATTTCCAATGACTGCACAAACAATGCTTTACAAATGATTACTCTTGATAAATAAACTGGATGTCAGAGGAACATGGAGCAAAGGGAACCAAGTCAGGATGTGAAATGAGGAAGTTAAAGAATACTGCTTGCAGGCCTTGGGTAAGATGGCGGACTAGGCAGACAGACTGCACAGACCCTCTTCAACAAAGAAAAGGGAAACCAATTAAGACACATACAGAAGAAAATCCTGGACCCCTGAGTTTTGAAGGAAAGGATATGGAAGTAGACTAAACTCCAACTAATAGAAGAACCTTCATGAAAACACCAAAAAAGGAGACACATGGAGCTGCAGTCTGTCACCAATCCTAAAGGCAAGGACGGCTTAGATATTGCCAAATGGTGTTAGGACCTAAGAAGTAAACTAAAAATTAGTCTTGCTACCCAGGGGCTGCACAGAGGACTGCACTGACGGCTGGTGAGTAAAAGGGGAAGCAGCAAAGAGGAAGGTGGGCTGAGCTGTGGACTTTTGCCTGTCCAGAGGATGTAGCCATTTTGAACGTTTACAAGCACTTTGACCATTTTGGATATTTAAAGCGACAGTGTTCTCTCAGACTCCAGGGACCTAAGAACAGGCTCCACTTGCTAGGGATCGTAAGGACATTCAGGACACAAACGACTGGAAAGGTACAATATTGCCCTTGTTACTCTTAGACCCCACACCTTCTTCGTGAACGGAAGGGCAGCCATCCCACACTCCTGCCTACTTTCTGGGCCAGCAAGTATTCCATCCCAGTCTGTGTGCTCGGATGGAGCCTAGCCACCTGTCCTGCCCAGATTTGTTTTTCTTTTTTAGTTTCTTTGTTTGTTTTTGTCTGTTTTAAATTATTATTATTATTATTATTCATTATTCTTCCCTTCCCAGGTTTTAGTTTTCAGCTTTTTCTTTCTTCCCTGTTCCTGGTTCCCATTGTTTTCTTTCTCACAGTTAACCCAATTCCTTGTTTTTCTTTTTGCATTTTTCACACTTTCTCTTCTTTATTCTCCTAGCCTATCTTTTTTCTCTTCTTGCTCACTCCCCACATATGGTGGGGT